GCATCTTCGTCCTCGAGGCTAAAGCCTATTGCTTTCATGCCTTGTTTGTAAGCTGGGCATGCTGACACATGATGGTCCGTTGAACTGCAATTGGCACAAGAGCGTCTCTTGTCCATATCATCCCTCGGTTTGTACCAATTGTTCCCTTGGTTTGCTGGTCCGTTGTTAAAATTGCCATAATTGTTCTTGTAGTATCCAGATCTCGAAGGAGGTTTCAACAAAAGATACTCTTTTGACTTGAGCCTCAACTCCTCCGGTGTTGGCGCATTGGTTGATAGTGGTGTGTAATGCGTTGCTAGCATCGTACGAAGTTCATCATTCTTCACACTACCGATGAATTTTGAGGCTACGGCCAGGTTCATCCTTCGGTTTGACTCATCCGGTTGGCTGCGTCTTCTCAGCATTTCCAAATCATCGAGAAACTTGTCTATCGTTTCATCTTCTCGCTGCCTCCGTTTCTCGAAGCGCATCATCGCCTGGTGCCCCTGCACCCCTGATCCGAAACGGTTTAACAAGATTTCGAAGATTTTCTCAGCAGTGTCACGTTGATATTGCTTCTTGGCCATGACACAGTTCAGGGCTGTCCCTTCCAAGTTGCTGGTGAGCGCACTGCATTCCTGTCTCTCCGACAAGTCCTCTTCCTCGAAATGCAGCTTCATTACCTCTATCCAGGTATCAATACAGCCATCAGATTCATCTTTATAGCATCTTGGTTTCTTAAAGAATCTTCTGGATTTCTCACTGCGTTCATTGGTTCTGGATAACCTTGTAAGGAATGTCTCCAAGGACCTGTTTAGGGGTTCAAATGCTGTGGCCATTGCCGTAGCATCCCTTGAGTGTCCCGCCTGAGTGTCCTCACACCTCGTCTGAGGCTCTGTATGCGGTGCATCCCTGCAATCCGAATCGCCGTGAGTGTTTCCCGCTTGGCCCACATGACTCCTCCTCGGGCTCGCATGCCCCCTGTTGCCGGAATCACTTCTCCCAGTCGCATGTGTGCCTTGCGTTAGTCGTTCGTTAGAGGTTTGTCTGTTCCCCGTTGAACTTTTTCTACTGTTCGGGCCCCATGTTCCATTACCCCTTGTGGCATAGCCTGATGAACTGCCCCTGCCTCTAGTGGATCCATACGTCTTCCTCTTTTGATGTTCATTGAATTTCACCCTCGGCTCCCTGCTGGGACCTCCCGAGTTCGGTTTTCCCTCTTTTGGTCCACTCTTGCTGCTTAGTAGCCCGTCCAACCTATCCATGATAGCCTGAGTTCGCCTCTCCATCATCGCGTCTATCTTTGTGTCAAGAGTCCCAAGAGACTGCTCTTGCTGAATTCTTAACTTCTCCATGTGTACTCACTACCCAATCAAGCACAGTTTATGTAGATTTAAAATCAAGAACAAAAAAATATATATAATGACAGAATATGAATATCTCTATGAAAAAAACGTATGTGTATTGTACTTTTAGTCGGTCACAGTACAATAGTCGAACTTGTCTTTTAAAGAAAAAGCTTTCCCCGCTCGGTGCTGCACCAAACAGTCAAAACTTTGAAGGCAGTAATTTTCTCAAGTGGGCGTCTATTGCACCCACCGAGTACTGTGTTACCTATCTGCCTTCGGACTGCCCGAGCTAGACCTACTAAAATCCTCAGGGCAGTCACTTTTCACAAAAACGGATTATGTTACAATCCACACCAATGAATCACGCTCTTTTTAATATAGACTTAGTGTCGCGAATATCCGAGTTCGGACCTGTTTTGTTTTGGTCTGGCTCTTATTGAAAGGCAAGTTACCAGTGCAGTCACTGATTCCTAGCCTGTGTGCTAATAACCTAATACCTCTCGCTTTAGTCTTTCTTTCGCCTACCTAAGTCCTTTAATAAAATAATACCCCTCCGGATTGGCACAAATAGGACCCTTCCGGACTAACAAAATCTAGACCCTTCCGGATTGGGACCCCTCCGAGTTAGTTAACACAAGACCCCTCCGGATTTGGACCCCTCCGAATTAGCAACTATAAGACCCCTCCGGATTCGGACCCCTCCTAACTTGAAAAAATTTTGACCCGTTCGGATTGGGAGCCCTCCGGTTTCGTAAAAGTAGCTTTTCGGAGATTTCCTTCTTTCAACCTATACCCCTCCGGATACAATCTCCGATGCAATTTTGCTTTTTCAATTAACTAGGAAGGGTATGTACTACTTTCCTAGACCCTTCCGGATTGAAGTTAAGCCTCTTATTTTACAATTCTTACTAACGGTGAAGGGTCTTGTCGCTTGCCTAACTTCGGCTCGATTAAGGTTTTGCTGTGCCTTTAGCCTTCACTTTTCGTCTAAAACAGCCTAAAGTTACTTTATTCAACCGTTATTACCTTTTGGTAGGGGTATAAGGGCTTTTCTAAAAAATTTTATAAAACGTGAAGGGTGTACCCTTCCAAATTGAGGAATTTGCTAAAAACAATCTCAAAAAAATTTTCACGCCTACTTTTTTGCAAAACTTTTATCCCTATCAGTAAGCTCAGCTAATTTCTGATCTATTGGTACCAAGATCAACTAGATCTGTTCAGTCGTCGAAAAGTTATTAGCCAAAACGTCTTTTTTCTTAAAGTCAAAAAATTTCTCTATTATAGGTTCCGCCTAACTTTTTCCGCAAATCTGGTCCTTTCGACCTAAAATTTATTGATCCGAGCTCAGAAGGCCTATACTCTTCTAGTTCAATGCAAAAGACCCGATCTAAAACGCTTTAGTTGAAAAAATTTGAGAAACACTATACTACCTGTACCCCTCCGGATTGATGAATCCATCAAATCAAACACGTTAAGTTCGATTTCTCTGTAACCCGGAAGGCTTTCGGGTAGCGGGTTTTAAAACTTGTAGATTTACTAGTGGACGTAGTCCGAACAACTATTTTTACTGTTGTACCTTAAAAATTTCAAAAAATTTTTCTGAATTTATAGTGTTTCGTTTTCTCAAAAATCACGAAATTTGGGTTTTCGGTACCAAAATAGTTCCAACCACTTTCGAACTAAACTTAACCGGTTCTATCTATTATGGTAGTGCAGTTACGATGTAACACACTAACTTAGCGCTTTTTTCCGTTTCAAAAAATATCGATATCTCAAAAATCGCGACTTGTGGGCGGATCAAAATATTGCTATTTTGACCCTAAAAACCGGTCTACTTTCTGTGTTTTTCAATGAAAAACGGTATAAGAGTATTAATATTGGCTAAATTAGTAATAATATTAGTAATACTACACCCCTCCGGGTTTGTTTAATATCCGAATTAAGGTGCTTAACTCGGATATTCGCAGTTCGGTGAAGGGTCACTACAGTGCAGCACTGTCGAGCTCCCCACAGATTACTATCTTAATTTCTGTACCAAAAGGGATACAAAACTTGTTAACGATACCCAACAGTCGATTGTTGTTGTCGTTGAGCCACTTCTTGTTGCTCCTTGTACTGCTTGCCGGATCAGTCTTCTCCCAAGACCCTTCCGAATTGAGCGCAAATCAGCTGACCCTTCCGGATTGAGCGCAATTTCTCATTAACGTGCTTAAATGCTCAAATAACCCTACAGTACAAGCCTCACAAACGGGCTACAAAACTGATTGTAACAATCCTGACTGATATAAATGCCTGTAACAACAATATATCTATCAACAACAAACGGGGGGTCGGATCACATCTTGTCTGGGGGGATGATTTCTACTGATTTTTTTCTTTTTTACTGTGTTTGGTTTTTTCGTTTATTTTTTATGTTTTTTGTTTTTCTTGGGTACTATACTACTTTTTGTTTGGTTTTATATATATCTTTAAGTGTTTTTGGTCACAAACCTCTCAGGGAACGAGGGAATGGCCGATCCCCCCACCCTTCCTGATTCGTGAATTTTCGGTCTTAACTAGGTTAAAAAGCTATTCACGGTAATCCGGAAGGCTTCCGCGTTCCGAACTACCCTTCCTCCCCGGCGGTTTAGGCCTATTAAGGGCGTTAATGTGAGCATCCGCTCGGCGCGGAGTGCTCGTTAACGGTTCTGCCGGTCATGATGTTAAAAAAGAATAACACCCAGGAGCGCCATAAAAACATGTATGTAACATTCGCCCGGAAGATACATATCGACGGAAAATAAAACTAAGTCCTAAGACGACTGGCTAACGTCTAAACAGAGCTTTATATGCTTTTCACCGTCTCTACCAAGCCAGTGTTTTAAGGTGGTCTTTTCTAACATCGGGTCGACAAAAACGTTACTGCTTTCGGCTTCGGTCAAAACACTCAAATTAACTAGATTACATGCAGAAATAGTGAGCTCATGGCTGGGTCTCAGTGTCCCCAGACCACGAGGTCACTCCTAAAAACAGGGCTACCATTTATTGAAAAATTACTGTTTTTGTTCAGTAGATAAAAATCATCATCTCCATCGAAGATGGATCAACCCTTTCCCCCAACTCCTAGCTTCTCATCCTTATCAAAATGAATCCAGTTGTTAATTAAATTCAAATCAGGACATGACAAGAAGCTAAAAGTTTATATAAAAGAATAAAAGTTTCAGTTCCGAAACCTTTCCGGATTCTTGAATCCACTGAATCAAGCTCGTTAATCTTGACTTCTTCGTAATCCGGAAGGCTATCTTCCACCCTTCACCGTTGTCTGCAACGCCCTTGCAACTATTGTAGCGACATAATAGTTGCAACTCGGAACGTTCTTCTGTTTTTCTCTGTTGTTTTTCTATCACAATCTTCGTTGTTTTCGTCAGTGCGACTATCGTTATTCTGTCACTTTTCCGCTTCTGTGCCAAAATCAGGGATATCGATTCGAATCCGAGTATTCGACCCGAATACCGAGTATTCGGCACTTCGAAGCCGAATCCGAATATTAAAATTTTGAAATCCGAATATCGAATCCGAATATTTTTTTTTTTTGCCGAATACCGAATAATCCAGGGTCCACTGCTAAAAAACCCGAATATTCCGAATATTGGTTTACTGTTTTGTTTCACAATATTTTTCTTTTTTTTTAAGATGGCTAATGTAGAAGAGTCTGATGTCGCTGCCGAGTGCGAGTATAGAAAAGAAAAAGGAGTGGCAAAATGGCATGAAAAGTTTCTTGTGGAATATCGAGGTGGTAGAAAAACGGAAGGAAGAAAGTGCATTAAATGCAATGTTTTGATTAAGAGTATTGGGGCGTCAACGACTTCGATGACTCAACACACGCAAGTGTGTGATAGCAAAACGGTCCAAACTGTCATTGCATCGGACCAAACTGTAATTCCTTTCAAGCGGGCTAGAGTTCAAGACGGCTTGAATGAAGTTGCTAAACTTGTATATGAAGACAATATACCAGTGTACAAAGTTGTGCGTTCTCCAACGTTACAATCATTTTTTAAGCAGCTTCACTTTAGTAAAGTCACCTACTGTTCAGTCAACAATGCGCTGGAGGTAAATTACCAAACAGCAGTACAGAAAATTAAAGATTTGATAGTAACACGTGATAAGCGACAAATGCTCTCCTTCATCAGCGGACAACAAAAAGTTCATTGGAGTATATTTGTATGTTGGCGGAGAAAGCGTTTGCTTGGGTTTGATTTATTATACTGGTTTCTATGGGGCCGAAGAAATACTCATCAATCTGAAAAAAACGCTATTCGAAAGTTCGCTGTTGAACCCGAAAGTGCCACACAGGTGGCGTCTAATGATCATCAATATGTGGCTGTGGAAGAAGGTTTGTCTTTTGCAGAGTTCAATAACAATTGCCAATTAGATGAGTTTGACATTTTCGCTTTTCTGGAAAATTTTCGTCCGTCCAGTGTTGATCCAGAGCGCCTATTTTCTTTATGCCGACTCAGTCGCAACTACTTACAAAATCGATTATCACCTGAGAATCATTCACGAAATGGTTTCTTAAATAAGAATAAAAGGTTTTTGAAATAAAACTGTTCATTAGCAAACTTGTTTTAAAATTACGGTCTCTTTTTTAAATAGTGTCACTCGATTTAGCTCGAAAAACTGGGTTGTCACTGATTTTTAACAGTTTTTAGCGATCTCAGTCGATTTAGCTCGAAAAACTGGGTTGTGAGTTGTGACTGATTTTTAACATTTACTCACTCACGCGATTTTTACATTATTACGCAAGTCCCAGCCAATTCTACTTGAAAAATGCTATGTTCAATACTTTTTATAGAATTTGTTGTATCAAACTTTTATGCTAAGTTTTTTGGGAAAATAACCAAATATCCGAATAGTTGTTCGAGTAGTAACATTTGGCCGAAGCCGAATCCGAATAGTAAGGGCACTATTCGGCCGAAGTCGAATATCGAATAGTTGGGCCGCGGCGAATAACGAATATCAAAAAATCCGAGTATTCGACATCCCTGGCCAAAATGGCCGTTTCTGGCGTTTCTCAGAAATGTTACGTAATCACTTCGAAAATTTAAAATTTAGCAATTTCCGAATCCTTCAACCTTCACGTTTTGTTCAATCGTTCGAATAACGTTCTTAATCCTTCAAAATCACTAACACGGAAGGCTCGCTGCTAAAATGACTAAACTGCAGAGATTGCATCTTTTCATTCTGGTCGAATGTCACAATTCTTATTCATTGATTTTTCTCCAACTCTGTTTTGGCTTTTCTGATTTGTTAAAATATAATTTATGGTCAGAATAATTTGTGCTAATTGCGCAGCAATCGAGTCTACTTGCATTCTGATCTTTTTCACATGCACGGTCTCAGTCACATGCAGGTTATCTTTGTGCCCGCCGATCTTTGATAAAATATATTAAGATTAAAGAGCTCTTGAATAAGCTTTTACTAGCTCTTATAGTTGATTCACTCCATTTATTAATTTTGTCATGCGCCCTATTAGAAATCTTCGTTTTTGATGTGTAACATTCGCCCGGAAGATACATATCGACGGAAAATAAAACTAAGTCCTAAGACGACTGGCTAACGTCTAAACAGAGCTTTATATGCTTTTCACCGTCTCTACCAAGCCAGTACTTTCGGTGGTCTTTTCTAACATCGGGTCGACAAACAACGTTACTGCTTTCGGCTTCGGTCAAAACACTCAAATTAACTAGATTACATGCAGAAATAGTGAGCTCATGGCTGGGTCTCAGTGTCCCCAGACCACGAGGTCACTCCTAAAAACAGGGCTACCATTTATTGAAAAATTACTGTTTTTGTTCAGTAGATAAAAATCATCATCTCCATCGAAGATGGATCAACCCTTTCCCCCAACTCCTAGCTTCTCATCCTTATCAAAATGAATCCAGTTGTTAATTAAATTCAAATCAGGACATGACAAGAAGCTAAAAGTTTATATAAAAGAATAAAAGTTTCAGTTCCGAAACCCTTCCGGATTCTTGAATCCACTGAATCAAGCTCGCTAATCTTGACTTCTTCTTAATCCGGAAGGCTGTCCTCCACCCTTCACCGTTGTCTGCAACAGCCTTGCAACTATTGTAGCGACACAATAGTTGAAACTCGGAGTGTTCACTGCTATTCCTGCAATCTGCTATTGTTTTTTCTCACAATTTTCGTACTTATCGTCCGCGCAACTAATGTTGTTCTGTTTTTCTTAGTTCCTTTTGCTAAAATGGCCGTTTCTGACGTTTCTCAGAAATGTTACGTAATCACTTCGAAAATTTAAAAATTAGCAATTCCCGAATCCTTTAACCTTCACGTTTTGTTCAATCGTTCAAATAACGTTCTTAATTCTTAATAATCACCAATCCGGAAGGCTCGCTGCTAAAATTCGAATTCTGCAGAGATTGCATTTTGGCCATTCTGGTCGAATGTCACCAAGCTTAAGAGCGCTTTAAAATGAAATTTCCTGACGGGCAAAATACCTGAAGGGAAAAATACTACCCGTCTGTTATTTCCTGTCGGGAAAAAAAACTTTGAACGGCGACAAAATTTTCTGTGTCTGGTTTGTCTATTTTGGTGTAGTTCACGTTTAAATGATATAAGCTTTGTAACATCGTAAATTTTCTTGTAGAGTAAATCTGAACTGATTTTGGTCTTCGGATAAATTGCAACTTGAATTTCGCTGGAAGTAAATTAACACTTATTGTGCGTTACTCCCCGGTTTGACCCTATCCAACCTGTGCTCTGAATGTTGCATGGTGGAAAGATCTTTTTTATTCGTTTTTTTTCTATCTGATACACGCGAATGTTTTCAGGAAGGGCTGATTGTTGACAATGTTCAACCAATTCTCAACTCCCGAGATTCGCTGTCTATTATCAAGAAACGGAAAAGTTCAGCTGCATCGACGATCCAACGTCATTTCAGAGGTTTGTATTTTTTTTGTTTCTAGAAAACTTTTGATCGATGGCCTTTCTATACATCGTATTTTTGAGTTTTTGAAGCCGTGGTAGGTGATAACTGATTTGAGTTTCAACTTATTGAATATTGCAGAAAGTTAGACATCGAGTGCCAAAATTAACATAGCAAAATTATAGTCTAGGTCATGGGTTGCAGCATGTGATGAAGTTTCCCCTCACTGCCAGGAAAACTTTTTTCTGAATTCAGTTTAAATCATTGACGAATTGTTCATAAATTTCTGTATCGCTTTTTGAATAAATCACTATGAAATTTGGAATTAAATGTAATTAATGTTTTTTTTGCGAATCTATAGAGTGGAAGGCTACCAAAACGGACGCATTGTTGGAGGAAGCAGAAGATGAAGAAATGAGCAGTAGTTCGGCTAGTGTTGGAAATGAAAGTGACAAAGGAATAGAGGTCGAACCAGAAGAAATCAAGGAAGGTGACGTTGAAGAGGAGGTCGAACAAATGCAGCAACATCAGGACGAAGAAGAGAACGATAAAACTGTGCGATCGTTTACGTCTTCGGAAATGGAAAAAAGACAGGTGGCGGCTACCAAGATTCAGAGCAACTTCAAAGGATTCATGACCAGAAAAGGAATCAAAGTAATAATCTTGGATTATCTTTTATATCAAGTCTTTTTAGTCGCAAAATGACCGGAGCGATAATCAAAAGAAATTTACCACAATGGGATCGTTCATCAGAAAATTTTATAACATTATTTATTTGACCATTCAACGGATCACTCGTGCAATCTCTCAAATCAGTTAATTCCTTTTTGCGCCCAATTTGTATTTTTATATATACAAATTGGTGCCAAAAAGGAACATTGCGATAACCTCCTTGCTTTTTTATTGAAGGGGATTCTAATTTCAACTATTTTAACTTCAAGTCAAACTAAAGCTTCTGGATTTTTTCACAAGCATTTGTAATGTATGTTTAAGGATGGTAATATTGTGGTGAATGACCACCCCATTTTGGTATCTCGTGGCTCCATCAGAAGTTTAGACGTCAGAAGAGAGCAGCCATTTCGAGGTTAGTAAAATGAATCAAATCAAATGTCAAAACATATTATTATACTGCTGCCGCAGCCTGACGATCCAAAAGTGCCACGAAAAGTAGCACTTTTATTTGCGACTTAAGTTTTAAAAAAATTCATACTAATAAACTTTGCTTCGCAATTGTAATTTTCTAAAAGCGCTAAATGAAGCTTCCAAAACTAGTTCTCCTTCTAGTAAAATAAAAAAAAAATTAAGCCTAAGTGGCTAATTTTCATACATAACGAACGTAACTCAATGACTGTACTCGCTCGAAATTGAACTATTATGTTGTGTAAACGAAAAGTAGAATTTAGGAATATTTGAGTGTCATAGTAAAACAGCTCAATGGAAACAGTTTTTGAAGAAAAATCACTAGAAAAACGAAAAAGTAAAATATTCAAGTTCGAATTTTTTTTTTAAGTTTTTGATTCCCAGAATTGCGCTAAAAACTCCAGAAACTACCTTTATTTGAATAAAATTAAGTTTTAAGTTAAGCTTAAAAAAGCTATTGTAAGCCTACACAGCTCATTAGCTCGAACTTAGACCTTGCTAATTAGATCTAAATTAGACCAAAAATCAAAAATATCAAACCGGTTTTTCTCGACACTGTGTATATATGTGAGTAGAAGAATTAAAATAATTTATTTCTCGATGTAAAGAGTTAGAATTGCTTAACCTCGTTCCCATAGTCGCGACCCACTCAGTGCCATCATGAGAGGCGACTGAAACAACGCTAAAAAATGAGAACGGGGTTTTAAAAGGATCATACATAAAGTAATTTGAAAGTCAGATGCGACAGCAGGAAAACCCTGTAAGGTTACTGAATGCTAGGCTAGGTGCACGCAATAATATCCGTAATACTTATTTTTCAAGTCTTCGACAACTTGTTCGAATTTTTGCTGAATATATTTTTTGCGTTGTGGGTGAAGGGCACTACTGTCTGTGAGCATAGTTTGTTGGTTGAATTCAAGTTTCTGTCCATTGACTTCATGAGGTTTTTGCAGCAATATTATGTCGTAATTTTTAGGGCTGCTAAAGTCGTGGAGGTATTGTATTTTTCTGATATTGAAGTTTTTTATGTTTTCAGATTTAAAAGACAATAAAACTGAGGCTAGTGAAGTTGTGCCTGAAGAGTCGGAAGAAGACGCCAGTTACAAGTACTCCTCTTCTAAACAGTCCTCACATCACGCACCCACAGCAACCATTCTGGAGGAGACGGAACCCAAGACATCGGAGTACTCGCAGCAAATGAAGAAAAGTGGCGAAAAGGAGGCCACTACGAATAACCAAGGTCTGCTGATGAATTATATCACCATTGTAGTTTTCAACTGTACGTTGAGATGGTAATGCAGTTTTTCAGTGTCAAAGTTTGAACTGAAGACACTTATTTAGGTCGTGTTAAAGTTCAATTCAATATCTTTTGCTAAACGAAAGGCAAATTGCGCTCTTCAGTTACGAAAGCGAAAAAAAAACGTGAAATACTTCTAGTTCGAAGTTGGATTTTCACTTAAGAGTTTCCAGCGAAATAAACTAAATTCACCCATAGATCCAGTCTTCTCAAAGAAGATGCAATCGCATTTATATTTATCTTTAATTTTCGAAGTTGATTGGTGACACTCCATTATATGTGATCATTGTTGTTTGCTGATGCAATATGTTTCAGTGCTGAATAATGGGCAAATCTTGGATCATTGTAAAATGGGAAGAGTTGTTACAATGCTTTTTTAAGATGCCTTTACAATAGGAGGTACATTAGGGGGGGCTGAATACTTTTTGATCCTCCAATGGCAGAGGATTTACAAATCATATTGTATAAGTCGTGTGGCTAGTGAAATCTGCTTGTGACAACTGTAGTGATATTATAGGATCGGAGAATCCTGTTCCTCCGAAGATAGAGCAAGAGAACAGTATCTCAGTGGCGAGTGTGACCATGCCTCAGTCAGCTGTCACTTCTTCCCTCTACGAGAAGTTATTACCGCGAGATGAGTCCATGTAAGCCTACTTGAAATTAACCAATTTTAGAATATAAAAAAAGCTATTTCTCTAATCGCCCTTTTTATACGTAAGTTGAAAGCTGCTGAATCTTACTTTTGAGGACCAGTTTTTTAACAGACAGTTTTTAGGAGTAAATTATAATTTTTTTGCAGACTTCGATTGATTGGTTACCGGTGGGAGCATAAATTAACGCATAAATGATTGACTGAAGTAAAAGCGCGAGTAATCTGGGTTTGAGCTTATGGGCTAATCTCATGCGCGAAGGACGGAATGCGCGAAAAAAATTCAACCAATCCGGTTGCGTTCATTTTTCTGCTGCTCTAGCTAGATGAAATTTTACAATTGTAAACCGAAAACAATAACGACCAAAAGTCAATTATTAAAATGAATCAAATTCGAAATTAACTTGAATAATATATCGAGCAACAAACTTGAAAAAATGTAAATTTCGGGAAACAGCGGACATATTGTTCATAAACTGATCAAGAATTCATACCAGTTTCATATAAGGAATTTATTTTCTACGAGTTTTTGCCTTGGAAATACACAATCGTACATAACGATGACCTGACACGAGCAATTTTGCGGTTCCAACTCCACAGTTTTCACAGATTTAAGTAGTTCGCAAATTGTAGGGTCTATATTGCAATGTTATTTTTTATACAATCGAGGATTTTTGGCATATAAATAGCAAAAGACTTCTTTACTTCGTCTGAATTGATCATAGTATCCATGTACTACATTCGCACGAATGAACGCCAAGGCTTTTCAAGTTTTTGGTTTTCTTGCTGTGAATTGCTTTCAATCCCAGGTGGTTCAAATCAGCGATAAAGAGCAACTGTAATGAGCTTCCAAAGAGTACAATGAATGCAAGTAGCTATTACAATGAACTGAAGAGGGAAATATTGATATTACTGGCGAATTAAATCCGAGCTCGAAGTCCAAAATTATCGTTTCAGGATAACTAAATACCAAAAATTGGGCAAAACAATGCTGTTTTTGGTTTCAGCGATAGTTGTCTTGTAAATCAGTTTCAATCTTGTCGTTGTTTTTTTTTCGAATTATTTCCTAAGATTATTCTCAAATTTTATTTTCAGCAATAAGTTGATTATCGGGTTTGATATTTTTCTTTGCAATCAGAATTGACACGCCTATAAAAAAATCCGGGTTTTGTCTGTTTATTTTTCACATGCGAGAGCAGTTGAGTTGTTTTCTGGAACTAGACTTTTTACCCTTGAGGACCCTTTCCACCTGGTCTAGAGTTAATTTTCGGATCATAAAGTATGGGGGCTCGAGTCCTGGCAGGCACTTGTTTTTTTTACGATGTGTCGAATTTGTTTTTGGTTTTTGAAAAACTTGAATTGTCAGACTATCGTTTGTGTACTTATTTGTTGTCGCTTACTATTTTTAGCATGGAATGTTATCACAGCATCATTTTTTTCTTGTTTAAGCAATTTTATTTATTGAAAATTGTTCTGTAGTTTGTACGTTTACCTGCTCTAATTTTGTATAATTATGTTTTTTCGCTTAAATGGTTTTGATTTATGCTATATTGACCTAGATAACTCTTTTTTCGTTTCAAATGCAAAAATTGGATTATATGTTTTTATTTGTTTCAAAAGCTTGAGCGTAAAAACTTCGGATCTCAAAATTTTACAGCTGAAATTTTTCGATGATCTTTATTGTTTTCGGCTCAACTGGTGAAGTATTATCGGCTTAGTTGATCCTCGGAATTTGATTTTACCGATGTTCTCCTCGCCCCCACTTTGACCAAGCAAACTTTTTTCCCACTAACCAAATAAAAGACGACTTCAACAATTTATTGGAAAACAATGCTAAAACGTCCGATGACAACCGATCATTTTTTATCAAAGTTTTAACGGGCTGATAACAATCTAAGTTGTTGTTCCGACTTTCGAAGAAAGTGATGGAATATTTGTGCTTAGAGTGATTTTTTCTCCAGCCAATTTTTGCTTTTTAAATTGCAATTTTTGATGGATTTTTTTAGATCAATCAAAAAAAATTGTTTCCTTAGCTCAAAATTAAAAAGATATTTCACCTGTGATCATTTTTTGTAAATTTATGGGGGTTTAAAGTTTTCCAATTTGGACAATTAACACGCGATATATGTCTCGCCGTTAACGCGTAAGCGGCGATACAGTGCTGATTTAAAGTACTCGGACAAAACGAACAAAATTCAAAGTTCATAGGCTTGTTTTTCAAATTGGGTTAAAATTAAGCAAACGTTGAAGAGAAAAAAAAAGTTGTTCAAAGAATTGATTTGGTGCGATTTCTCTTTCAAATTTCGTAGACGATATTTTCCCCAAAAAATGGGTCCATTTGGGCTTTTTCTACATAATCAAGAATTACACTGACACTAGCGAGTTAATTAATTAGAAATTTATATCAAAAATAGACTCTTGCACAGCCCGCCAAAGTTCAACAAGGTAAAATCTCCCAAAAAACTATTTAATCGAATAAATTTTCGGTTGACAGCAAAAAGTATTTTCACTAGAAAAAAATCAAAATCTTTGCTGAACACAAATTTCAAACGTTTTGAGGAAATTTCTAAGACTGTCTGGCTGTGAAAAAGACTTGTTTTGTTATAACTTTCTCATCAATTAACTCGGTATTTTGCGTTATTCTTGATTAAGTAAAAAAACCAAAGAGACCTTTTTTGGGGGAAAATTTTGGGTGCGAATTTCGAAAAATAAATTGCGCCATATAATTCCGGTGAAATTCTGACCAACTCCTGTTCACTTCAATTTTCTCTAATCTTTACCTAATTTGAGAAAAAGATTTTGCATATTCAAATATTCAAATTTTTTTCATTGTGTCAGGTTAATTTAATTCAGCACGGTATGAGCGGTCAAGTATTCATTCAACCTAATTTGCTTCCTTTCTCATGAAAATACTGCATTCTGATTGGTTGAAACTTGCGAAAATAAATAACAAAAGTTTAATCCCCCTAAATCAATTGGGGGGGGGGCGATTGTTCACATGGATTGTTCTACGGATTTTGAATGCTTTTTTGAGGACGGTGATTGCCATGCGCGAATCTAGGACTTTCTCGAGGGGGGACGGATTTTCAAAAAAATTATAAAATTTTTGTCGATCTTTTTTTTAGGTCGGCCAAATTGATTTTTGAGCTCTCCCAAACCACTCTAAAGACCGTAATTTGACGAATTATTCTGCGCTGCAGGCAAATTTTTGAAAAAAGGCGTTTTTAGGCACTTTTTGAAAAATTTCGACCAAAAATGCGTTTTTTCGGCGCGCGCATCCCCGTCAAAATTAGGACAGATTGGCGCCTTTAAAAAAATTTAAGGTCAGCCAGCCAAAAATGGATATCTCTAAATAGTACAAAGGGGGACTTGTGATCCGGGGACTACAAATCCGCTACTGGTGATTGGTCTTTGACACATTTTCCTCAAAATCAGGATCATTGGCAAATAATTGATTTTTTCTTTGTTATAGGTACACAGCCAGCACTCCGGGTACGGAAGGAAGAGTCAATCATGAAAAGAAGCGTCAGGGGTCTCTGGCAGACACTGAGACTATGGGGCCGGCGGAGTCTGTCCAGGACGCTGACAAATTGTTCATGCCGGCTATGGTGGAAGGAGATGTGAGCAATGTAGCTGTGATAAAGTCATCCAATAAACAGGTCAGTGATGAACAGAAAGACGAATTTTAAAAACTTAATCAATTCACAGAAATTACATTACATCGCTTCTGTTAGCCAAATGAAGCTCCTATAATAAGATGAAATTTTGTTCGAAAACCGGCAATTGTATTTAAAATAAGGATCTCGTTAACTATTCCAACCGTTCTGCAAAAGGGTGCAGAAATTCGTTACTGGGTACAAAATCAGCATATAACTAAACGAAATAGAACCTGTTTTCAGCCAACATGCTATTGCAACAGTTTACGAATTTTTCTTTAAAAAATATTCAAAGGCTCTGTTTTGCAATCAATGTCATGCACTTAACAAAATAGAAAATTCAAATTTTTTTGACCTGATTTTTAATAAGTACCGTAAATCAGCTAACTTCTTCTCTGCTACTTCGAGTAAGCTTATCCAGGGCATCGTGATCTGTCTCTTTGGTATTATCTATACATCATTTGTTGTATTATAACCAACTAAATGAATTCAAATTCATTAGCTCACTAAAGGGGTGGTTAGGGGAAGGCAGAAAGAACCGTTAGCGGATTCGAAATTCCTGTTTGATAAGAACAGGTATTGTGGAAATGTGTGGGATCGTGTTTTTTTACACAAGCAAAGCTTGTGTGATAGTCTGAACTCTTTTTTTTTTCAGCCTAAGTAGCAAATATTAGTGTTCATTTTGAAAGTGTTCATTTGGATCAATTACCAGCTGTTAAGTACAGCTAATGCGAAGGGTATTAACACAGACTGTTATATTACAAATAGCCCTTTAGCTTCAAGGTATCATGGATCTGTAGCGTAGAGGTAGGGAAGGAGACCCGCAACAAAATAAGAGGGTTCGAACCTCTATTTGATTTTTTTTCTCGAAAACTATCCTGCCAAATCTGGCGTTTTGATTTCAATGAGTAGAACGGGTTGTCGAAAGCTCCCTTGAATAAGCGGTTACTCTAATTTTTTTTCACACAAAAAGTTATGACCCTCGGAAAAGTCAATTTTTCGATTTTTTGACACTTTTTGATTTTTTTTCTCAAAAACAACGCTCCCAAATCTGAGATTTTGAGTTCATTTGACAGAACGGTATGCGGGAAGCTCCTCTACATGAGCGTCTCTGGCTTTTTTTACAAAAAATATTACGCCCTCGGAAAAACAAATTGAGATTTTTTGACTGTTTTTGCAATTTTTTGGCTTGTCTCGAAAACTACAATCCCAAATCTGAGATTTTAGGTTCATTCAAAAGAAAGCGATGCGCGAAGCTCTCCTGTTTAAGCGCTCACGTTCAAATTTTCAAACAAAAAGTTATGACCTTCAGAAAAGTAGATGTTTTGATTTTTTGTCCGTTTTTTGAAACTTTTTGACTCTTCTCGAAAACAACTCAATCTGATATCAAGGGTTCAATCGAGGCAACAGGTTGTGGGAAGCCTCCGTGCATAAGATGCTACGCACTAAAATTTGTTCAAAAAAATATGTCTATGTGAAAATTCCAAAATCACAAAAAATTCACTCATCTTTTAATAGGGGAATAACTAGCTTTTGGGTGCAGCCCAATTTTTAAGTTTTTTAAATTACCTATTTCATGACGCATCAGTGCAACTAAATCAAAACTATCAAACAGGTACCTCTAGCTTTAGCTAGGCCTCTAGTAAATCTAAAAATTATTCATTCTAAATTTTTTTTTTTTCGTTTTTGCTTAAATGCGAAGTGCTACCTGGTGTCTCAGAAACTTTATACCTGGTGTCTAAGATTCTTATAACTGATTCAGGAGGAATCGTCTCGTCATTCTCCCATATTGGAGCTAGATGGAAAACATTACGGTGGATTTCAAGCTAGCAAGGAGGAGAATCAGCAGCAGGTGCATGAGCAAAAGCCGACACAGAGACGTAAGAGCTATGGATTTCAGCTACTCACTTCAGTCGATGATTCAGACGAGGATGACCTGGATGGACTGCCAGGCATATCAGCCAGTAAGGAACGTTTCTTGGGTTTTTGGCAACTTTTTGATGTGAGTTTACTTCTAGAGAGAAATAAGCCCTACGTTTAATTCTTGCATTAGGTAGGTACAGCGAAACCTCGCAACAAAAGACAATTCGTCAGAAAAGAGAGCTCGCAAAGCTTAAGGAAAGCGACAACTCGCAAAGTTTGAGCATAGTTTTAAAACTTGAGAATTTCGTTGAGAATTAAAACTTGGCAATTTTTTATCAATCTCTACCCTCTGTTGGGAAGATCGTGAAACGTTGGCGCTACTGAAGAGGTCAGTTTGTTGCTAGTTGTTTTTAATGTTGTCTATCATTGTTCCGACCATTGCAAATGGGGAGGAACTTTGTATTCGGGTGCGTGTTACTTTTTCTTCTTTGTTTTCCACGCAAAACCAGGGTCCACAAATAATCATCGGAAGGGATCGAGTGATATATCATAATAAAGTCTTTGCAGTCGTGATTCGAAATCTTGCCAAAAAACCCTCAGTATAGAGAAACAGTTCAAGTGTTTAATTTTCGGTCTAATTACGAGCGAATAAAACGAGTGAGTAGGCTTAATACTGAAAATAGGTCAAGGAACTTTTTTCAAGCTCTGAAAGTTTAGTTTTACTCCAGTAAAATAGGTTTTCGAAGTTTTTAGAGCCATCTTGGGAATAAAAAACTGAGATAATTTTTTTCTTTGAGTCGTTTTCCGACTAAAAATGTGGTCCAGTTTGCCTATTTTACTATGGCTGTTAAATATGCCTAAGTTTTAGGCTGTCTTTTAGATCCTTTTAGCGCATCACGCAAAACAAACGACACTAAGTTTTTGTGTTTTTTAAGAGTATGGTCGGAACATTCTGTGCTTCTTGCACAGCAACTGGCTATCCTTGTTGCGAGTTGTATTTAGTTGGGGATAGTCGTATTACGGCAGCATGAGCCGTGGAATATGTCGACCAGTTCATCAAATTTTTTTTTGGTGTAATTGTTTCTTTGTTGGAATCTTCACTTGGCTGTTGACTATATTTGTAAATTGTTGATTTTTTGAGGCGAGCTTTGCTTCGCCTGTACACAACAATGAAATTGAATTAAAAGCTCCGATGGCGTTTCAGTCAATTCTACTGACGACAGTGAAGATGAAGAGGATGAGAGTGAAGAAGAGGAGGAGGAGGGTATGGGCATGTTCGAACAGGAAGTGGCAGACAGACGCAACAGCTACCAGGCGTACGTTAAATACCTCCCTCAACACTTTACTTATTAGCGATAAGTTTGTCAGCGGTAAAAAACAGTTTGGCTTGAAACAGCAAAGAGATTGAAAAGCAAAGTTTTTGATTTTAAACGCTGTTAAACCCTTAAACCGATTAGGAGCAATGATATTTGCTTTAAATGTTGTTATTTAAGAATGCTTGTATCAAAAAAAATTCAATCACTTACCATTATTTGCATTTGATTTAGTGTTGAGAATATCTACATGAACCCTCCGCCGGCACCGGAAGATGAGGACCCCAGAGCAACTCCACCCAAGAGAGCTAGCCTGATGCAGGAGCCGAACTTGGTGTTCGACCAGCTGGCACAGGAGCATGCGGCAACTCGTATCCAGTCACATATCAGAGGGACTATGGCAAGACGTTCCTCGGAGTACAGAAGCATGTCGGTAAAAACGAAAAAATCAATGCCCTTCACTGCATGAAAGCTGTTGAAGATACTTCTGAAGGACTGACTAAAAGAAAAACTTAATAATGGCATGGAGACGAGAGGAGGAAAATTGATTCGAGTGAACTCATTAATGAGTTGATTATTTCATGAATTGCTGGTTTGTTGTGGATGGAGCTGTTTGTTTAATCGGGCACTTAGTGTGCTTGTTGTTTTGATTTTATTGCGATGATTTAAAAAAAATTGTTCGAATAATTAATTATTTCTAATTGAAGATGACTTTTCATTCAAAGGAGTTTTTTCATTAGAAGGAGTTTTTCATTCAAAGTTTGATATTGTAGCCGAGATTATGAAAAAATTATAATTAAGAACAAAAGCTGATTGTCAATCAAGCATGACTGAAATTTCAGATCACGGAATTCAATGCAAAAAAAAGCAAGGATGAACGGTTGCTCGGCAAATAGTGCAGAATATTCCGGTCACTATTAGTTTGGGTGTCATCAAAGATCGATCTAAAAACGCAGACCTATTTAAAGACCAAAAGAAGTTTTTGGATGTTTTTCGAAATCAAATAACGGCTTAAAGGTCTCTGATATGATATGAAACCTATTTTTCTTTTGAGGTAGTGAAAATTGGGACGAAAAAAAAAACACCCGACGTAATAGTTCCTTTTCGTAAAGTTGATTTTTGATTCATTTTCAAGTTCAATTATAAACCATTTGCTAAAAAGAAAAGGGCCTTTTTTCGCCTCCTCTCAAAGGCATCAGCTTTATGGTGTAACGAGGGGCTTAACACGGTTAAGTTTGAAGATCATTTAGTTAGTCATAGTGTAATTAGCCACCGCAAGCAAATTTTGTAATAATCGGACAACAAAATTTTTCAAAAAAGTTATGTTGCGGAGGTAAAAGAGCTAGGAAGATAAATTACGCTCACCAATCAAGAAAGCAGAAATTGGGCGGAAAAATGTGAATGACTTTTTAGTTCGGAAGTGAGTTTTAAGAGGAACTTCAAGCATAAGTTATAAAAAGTTTTTCATCCACTTTTTTTTTATTGGAAAAACTGGATCATTCGAATAACAGATCAATGGTAAACAGTTTTTGCACAATAGAAAACAGTTTTTGCACAATAGTTAAAGAAAAAAATGGTTGATCATTAAATATTCTTGAAGTTAATAGAGCTTCAAAATGGTATACTTTCTCCTTAAAATTCGAACCCTATGAAGAGTATATGATAAATTCGTTTACGAATCAGGAAAATTACAGAAATTATTTAGTAAGAGTAGCCCGTTGAAGTTGTCGCAAATTGATTTTAAAAAAGGAATTTTCAAAAAACAAAGCGAAGTTAATTTTGTTTTGGTTCGGGGAAACGCTAATGGAAGAATTGAGAACTAGTGCACAACAGCTTAATCAAAGGTTAAATAATTTTTATCTCGTGAAAAAAAAATAATCAGGCGCGGAAGTGAATTGTGACTCTTCACTATAAATTTGTCCTAAAAACTAAAATCTTCAAAATGTTTTTTAAGACACTGAGAGACATAGGAAGTTTTATTTAATTATCAATCATATCACGTTTGAATGTTGTTATTTTATGATCTATCCTTCGTCTTCATCTGGAGTCCCAGTTCAGTAATTGGAAACGAATAGTACTGCTTGCTTCAGAACTAAGTACATATTAGAGTTCTCTTCCTATAGCGGCAAATCGTGTTGAATTAAACAAATTTCGAACAGCGTGAGTTTGCACTTGGTTAGTTCGGATAGTTTTCAAAGAGTCGATGAACGTAGTTCAGACTCTTAAATAGGTCTTGATAAAAATTTTTTTCGTTTTTCTTGGTAAGGTTTTTCAGGCTCAAATCAGTTCATTTCTTTTTGAAAATGAAGGCAAACTCCACGATCGAACTGTGAACGTGTAAAGGCTTAAAAACTAAAAGACTTAAAAACGAAAGACTTAATTGCCAGATTTCCAAGCAAAAATACGTGTTGATCCAGTTTTTTCAAATTGGTCTCACTTAATCTAGAAAATGACAATAAAAAATTTTCAACAATTTTAAAGAGCTTTAATGCCTTTTTTGAAATTTGCCTTTAACGCCGTTTTTCTTTTCAAAAATCAAGTCAGTTTTTTTCTGTTCCTTAGCGTTTATGACTCGACTCTTTTCCTCTTTTCCAATTGTCTGTTGGCGATGTTTCTTAGGAAGTATACAAGTTTTATTTTTTTTTGTTTAATACTTTTTGTTTCCTTTCAAGCTCACATTCAACCTTATTTCTTAGTATACTAGAAGGGATGTCCTATAAAATAGAACTTGAATTTTGTTTTTAAAAAGTATAATTTTTCACTGCAAAGTTATAAAGTTAAGTAAAGATCCAGCTTCCTTGGCCTAGGCATTTGAAAAAGTAAAAATGGGTCTATCATAAAAATAAGCAAAGTTCTTATTAGAGTATAATTTTTTAAACATGGAAAGATGTTAAAAAATTGTTTGTTTGTGGCAGTTTTTTGAAATCAAAAAACGATTTGAAAAAACATCAGTTCGTTTCTTTTCAGGAAAAAATGTGATTGCTTTTTTTTTGCGGTCCGATTTAATTTTTCGGGGACAGACCAAATTTATTTTTATCCGTTTGACTAATTTAGTTTTTTTGCAGTTTGACTTTCCATTTTAGTTCAATTCAAATTCATGTGTTAAAAGAAAAAAAGTTTTTCAGTCCCCCTTGAGCTCATTGACATTTTATAAAACACATGGGCAATATGCTTGCGTGCTTTATTCGAATAATTCTGCAAAAAACGAACAATATTTGAATGAAGAACTGCTGAATAGTGCTCAATTAAATAATGCACAGCTCAAAAATTTAATTTGAATTTTTATTGAAACAGAATGAAGGATTTTGATTTACTTGTTTGTTTATCACAGCAATCCCATTGAAAACATGGTTTCCACAGTATCGATGAAACACCAGTATGTGGCTTTTGTTGATGCGCGATCTCCAATTTTTGAGACATTTCATACTCAAATGTACTCTCCGAATCGAAGTTATCTTCAAGTACGAGTTCTTTCGTAAATGCTGCGGCAGGTCTTCATAACACTTCGGTCACTTGTTTTTTTCGGACATTTGGTCTTCAGTCGGTAGTTTTTCCTTGATTTAAGTTTGTAGGCTGACAAACATCTGATTAATAGTTTTTGGATGGTATATGTCTCCATTTTCTGCCCTCACTTCCTTGGAAAAAACGAATCCAACACTCATGGTAAAAATTACTTGAACAGATTGTCAATTGTGTATCCAACAAACTCACCTTAATGTCATTTTTCGGGACCAAATGATACGATTTTTTACAAAGGTGCGCAATTTAACCACCGCCCTAGTGCAATTAAATTAGTTTAAATAATGTAGTAACTGGTTAGCATAATTTTCAGTTTGTGGTTGTAAAATACGGATTTTATCCAGGATTTCCATCTATTTTTCAGCCAATGATTTTGCGACCGACTTAGTAAAGCTCTCAAGGAATAATCGTCAAATTTTAGCAGAAAGGTCGGTCCATTTGGAAATTTATTAAGTTAAAGTAAAAATCTCGTCTGAGAGTGAAAACTTTTTCAAATGTAGGTCTTTGTCCAAATTTTTCACATGCTTTTCATATCAGATAAGCAACAGCTTATATTGCGTCTCGAATTTTTATACCATCCTGGCTGTGTTTAGTTAGCTGTATATTGCTGGCTTAAAGGGATAATGTAAATTTTTTCAATCATCAAAAATCAACTGCATTTTATTATTCAAAAAATTAACTTTGATTTTTATCCTATCAGTCATGAAACTGATTAACAATAACTCAATAAATAGTTGGTTGTTCTTCGTTTAAGTTTTTATGCCTGATGACGAAAGATCTGAGCTTCTTAAAATTTATGCTGAAATAGCAACAACTAACAGCTAAAGCCGGATACCACCTAAAGTTCTGACCAGAGATTTTGGAAAGTTTAGGGTGTCAGGCGTTTTTAACAGCTTCTCAGAAAAGTCAGTAAAATCTATTTTAAAAGAGTAAACACTGACTCAATTCCATCCTGTCTCCCTAATGTCTTCGAGGTAACTTTATTTGAAGGCGGATTTTTTGTCAACACTGGAAAAAAATTTTATTGAAATTTGAGCCGAAGCGCCATTTTCAAATAATGGATCTCTTAAAATTGAAATGTGGGATATCAAAAGCGTTTTAGTGCGGCTCAGAAGCTATTCGGGATTCAATAAAATCTTATCTGTTTTTTTTTAAAATTGTTTGGCTGTAGAATTTTTATCAGATTTTTAGATTCAATGAAATTGAGATAAAAAAACATACCAAGACTCTGGTTGCGCTAGTGCTTTTTGTGATGTTTTTACTTTTATAGCGCTAGTGCTTTTTGTGATGTTTTTACTTTTATACGCGAAGAGTAATTTCGCCTCTGTAAATTTTTTCACCAGTTTGTCAATTGATCTAATGGCAGTTGACTAAATGAAACGCCGCTAGTTTCCTTAAACTTTGATGAAATTTGGATTGAAGAATTGACGAGTATGCTATTAATTAACAGCTCTTTCATTACTGATTCGGTTCAGAACAATTCAGGAAAAAAATTATTGAGTCGAGAGAACTCGTCCTGAAGTTTGGTTGCTCCGACTTATTGATAGCCTGAGGAGCAAATGGGGAAACAACTGGGCACTGGGGCTTTGATGCATTTTTTCCTAAGTTAAGAAACCCCACACCTCCCTCTACGAAAAAGGCAAAACACTATCTGGAAAAATTTGAACGAAAAACAAAAAATTTTCAATTTTACAGTTAATGGCTCCGTAATGACCTAGTGCGAATAGACTGAGGATGCTGCAAACTTTGAAACGAAGTGTAGGCAACACCGTTTGCTATTTCCTAAACGTTCGTACGTTTCGAATCTCCAGTTTATTGAAAAATTGACTGTGAGCTTTGCCCATTTTTGTCGGTTTGCTTCCGTAGGCTTGTAGATGACTGAAAAATATGCATTGTGTCTGATCAAATTTCATCTACTCTAACAAAATCTTGCTGGTGTGTTCTCGAGTATGGTTTCATTTTAGGTTACCAAATAATTGAAAACCAGCAGCTCTTTGCTTTTCAGAAGATGTCTTTAATTAATATCTAAAAAAAATATATTTTCAATAAATAAAAGCAGAAATTCTATATTTTCAAGATTTTGGTAAATGGGCGCCTGGCAACTATTGTTTACTATAGAAGTCACTTGAAACCTAGAACCTAGTTCATTGAAAGAGTCCGGAAACTAGAACAACGTTGTATCTATTTTCAATGTATCACTATTTTATTTTTCCATCGTAGTATATTTTGAGAAGAAAATTCTACCGAATTGTCATAAAGAGATACTTCAATTAATTTAGTCCTTCGAAATTGGTCGAAACCTCAAAAACTTTGAATTGCTCGAAATTTTATCCTAATTCCACGCGACTAACGTGAGTGTTTGGTACGTTATAACTTTTTAATACTTGGTCAAACTAATTTTTGCTTTTTGAAGTAAAAAAATAGCCGTGCCTGCCGTATCCCAATATACTTTAACAAACCCTCTCAATCGTGTGCCGATCGAGTAAATGAAGTTCTCTGCTGCTTACTCTCTGAACCGTTAAATTGGTTAAGCGTTAAAATACTTTTTTATAGAAAAATATAATATTTAATGCACGACATGCGCTGAGAAAGGTAGCTTGTACACCTTTTTTTTGCGTCTCGAGTTTTAGCGATGGATACTTTGTGACTAAAACGTATTTTTTTCTATAAATAACTCTGAAGGCACAATGTACGGTTTTGTTTTAAGCCCATGCGAGCACAATGTACGGACTACTGCTGAGTTCGTTTGCGGATGCGATCAAGGAGACATTTGGGGAAGAAGCGTGGAAGCAGATCAGAGAGAAAGCAGGGGTACAGTATGCCTCATTCATCACTCACCAGGTAAACTGGCCATAAAACTCAAAACATTTTCCAGTGTTCTCGTGTTTAACTGTTTAACTGAAAAATATACTTGTGGTCAAAAAGCTTGTATTAGTACTTTTATGTTCTTACTTATTGGGGTTAACAAAGTTATCAGACGAGTCTTAGTCGTGAACCCCAAGTGGATTAACGGGATGTTCTTAAATGGAGGGTGGCTGAGATGACAAAAATATGATATTTAAAACATTGTAAAGCCTATTTGGGCCTAAATCATGTAGATGTTTTTTTCCGAAATCTTAAATCAGGCGGTTCCGTATAGTCACGACTTCAAAAACATCAATTCTGTTTATGGTGAGGGATGTATGCTTTTGGCCAGACCAGCCGCTTGGTATCTTCTTAGACGACATCCTCTTTTTGTTAGTTCTTGTTAGCTAACAAAAAGGATCTTTTTGTTAGCTTGTTGAGAGCTTTCTTAAAAAATCGGATCAGTTTGGTAGTTAGTTCGTGAAGCCATGGTTATTGGAAATGCAGCCAAAAATTTTGGCTGTGTTTCCAATTACTATGATTTAAAAAATTGGCTATAAAACTGATCTGATTTAGAGAAACTCATATATTAGAAGAACTATTCAAAAAATTTTCTTGTGTTTTTTTCTTCTCAGACCTAGTTTTTTTTCTGCTAGGTGTACTCGGAGACTTTGCAGCCTAGATTGGTGAATGCATCGACCGGCATTCTGAAACAATCTGCGGACGACGTACTCATGTACCAAGGCACCAAGTTCGTCGAGTTCTGCATCAAAGTCGGCTACGACAAATTCATGCGACTACTGGGTCGAACCATCTCGGATTTTTTCAATGGCCTCGACAATCTGCACGAGTATTTCCGACAGTACTACCCAGAGATGAAGCGAGTCAGTTTCATCGTGAGTGAAGAGAGCAGAAATGGACTGATTCTGCACTACCGTAGCAAGCGAAAAGGCAAGTATACCCCGGTCTTATTGTCACAGATTTTGCAAACTATCTAAGTTTACCCTTAAGAAAGTACGAATAATAAGTTTTTCGGCTACAAAAGCTCAGATAAAACGTGGATTTAACTTTCAACTGTAAAAGCTTTCAAAAAACAATGCAATGTTTTCACGCTTCATGCAACGCTTGAGACATCAAAACCTGGATATAGCTGAAATCGATTTTCGGGCTCCTAATAGTTTTTGGTTTCAATTTCAACCTTTTTAAGTTTGAGCTTTAAGTTCGCGTTTTCGTGGACTTTAACTCTTGAAATGAATCATAGGTTACAAAATGTACGTGAAAGGTCAAATTCTGGCAGTGGCCAAGAACCTGTTTAACTGTGAGGTCAAGATAGAGGTCAAAGAGGAGAGACTGATGGACGAGACGACATTTGTCGCCTTCGATGTCTTCTTTGACAATGTCGACTACCAGAAGAGAACACGACCTTCGTCCAAAGTGAACAGGTTTGGACTACAGGTGAGATGGTCACAACAGTTCAGTGGTTCCATCCTCGATGGCTACTAAAAATGCTCATAGTTATTGTTCCGACCAATAAAATTTATGAATGTGGTCGGAACTTTCTGTGCTACTTTAGTCTAATTAGTGATTTCCCACACTATTCTCATGAGAACGTTTTCCGCGCTTTGAACAGTTATAGCTTTCGGTATCATGAGTTTTTGCCGAATTGACTGATTGTTTTCCTGCATTTTTTCAGCAACTTCATGTCTGTAAATAAAAAAGTTAAGCCTTTGCGGATTTACAAAATGAAACATCAGCAAAAAAACTGTAAATGAAATTAAAACTGATAAATTGCCAGATGATTGCATTGCTCAAGCTAGTTAGTATTTTTTCGTCTGAAAATATCTCCTCCCTGTCGGAAAATTTCGGCTCGCATCATTTTCTCAGAGCTGTTTGTGAACCCTTCGATTTCCAGGTAAAGCAGGACTTTCTCTTCTCTCTCTTTCCCTTCAACATTGTGTTCAATCGATCTATGATGATCACCAATGTAGGCAACAGTCTGTTCGAGATCATGCCAGACATCCTGAACCAGCCGGTGGATGACATCTTCAAACTAGTCAAGCCCATGGCCAGTCTCACCTGGGAAACGGTGGGTAGTTTTCTCAAAAATTCACTGCATATGGCATCATTTTTGTTAAAGTTTTTGTTAAAATGTTCGCACAAACGCATGTAAAAAAAGTTCACTTATTTGGTGGCACTTTTGCTATTATCAAAATCTGTAGCATTGGAAAATTCATAGCGTTTGTTATCTGCTTTTTTGGCTAGTGTTTGAGATTTATGAAGCGTTCGTGCCTGAATGGCTAGTGTATGCGCCTCATAATTTCTAGGTCGCAGATCAAATCGGAGACGTAGCCGAAATTTTTTATTAATTCGAGACCTATTATTTTTTTGTTATTGCTTTTTATAGAACTGCTTTTTGTCGTTTTCTTGCTAGTATTTGCGAGGCGCAGCTTTGCCTCTGTGCAAATATTTCTTTTTATGTTGGTTGTAATTTTACGTTGGTTGTCTTTTTTTGTTTGTTTTTATCCCCTTTTTAGGACTCATAGGTTTTGTCCTATATTATATCGGCTTAATGGCTTCATATTGCGTCGTTGAACGAGTGAAAAAAAAGTTTGTGTGAATGTTTTAAGATTGAGGGGGACTTAATAGCTTTTAGTCTAAATTTTTCTGAGTTTTTCAGTTTGGCTTCTTTTCTCCTTTTTTCCGGCTTAAAAAGTTTCGGCCTATATCATATCGGCTTACTCGCCTAATATTGCCTCGTTCGACCAGCGAGACATTTTTTGTGAGTTTGTTTTGAAAGTGAGGGGGCTTAATATTTTTTTTTGCATATAAAAAAAATTTTTTTTTGGGCTTTTTTCTATTTCTTTTAATTTTTCGGCTTAATAGGTTTAGGCCTATATTATATCGGAGTAGTGTTTTTATATTCTTTATTTGATGGGCGAGTAAAGTTTTTTATGTGTGTCTGGGTGCTTTGAAGGCGAGGGGGACTTGATAAATTTTAATAAATTTTCGGCTGCGACGAAAGTTGCGACGAAAGTAGCAGTTTCGGTTTAAAAAATCAGCTGATAAGAAAGCCAACATTAAAAAGATTACACGGTTAACTAGCAAGCGTAGAGTTATATTACGAATCAACTTTTTTTAACCCAACTCGTAAAAAAACTGCCCATTTGTTGGAACTTTTGCTGCGTATAGTAGAATAGAAAATTTAGTAGCATCTGATTTAGGATTCGTTTGTGTATAGTGTTTAAGAGTCGATGAACGTTGTGAAGACTCTTATACAGGTCGTGATGATTTTTTGTTTGTTTTTTTTTTTTCAGGAAAAGCCTTTGTTGACGCTCAAATTTGATAATTTGTGGTTTGACTTATGATTTCTTCTCTAGTCCAGTTCATCAAAGTTTACGGAAATTTGATCAATGTCATATTTCGAAAGTGAATTTTAATTTTCAGAGCTCCCGAATTCGAAGACCTTACAAGGCATATGTTTTTTGTTTTGAAGTTTGAAAACAAATCAGTCGCACAGGTAGGAGGACTTGAGACTCTTGAACAATATGAACAATATGTCGGTGGTTCAATTTCTGCACCCAGCAAAATCTTTGTTTTTGAATGCTTATTTTTACCTTGTCTTTTCTTATTTCTCTTTTAAGGGATACTTTTTGTGATGTTTTCTCACCTGCGTTTGCGATATGCAGCTTCGACTCTTTATACCATATGTAACATATGTATTCGCCTATGTAACTAGTTTTGCACTGATGACACGTTTTTTAAATTCGAGTTAAGATTGTGATATTGTAAGGTGTCAGTTTCAAACCAATTGACCAATTGATCGTTTTTGTAAGTAGTATATCCAACGAGATTCGCTTTTGTTTGGTTGTATTTAATGGTACTTTTATTAGTCCGTTGGCCTTTCTTCTGGTATTTTAGGAGTGAAATATTGACCTCTCTATACTCTTGGTGACCAAGGTGAAGATATAGTTAACCGCTGGATCATTTCATTAAACAATTCATGTAAAAAGAAGTTTGCTCGATCCATATATCCTAAATGTATGTACTGATTGTTGATTTAAAACCTGTTCTGGGCTTTAGGAATGTATAAATTATTTGTGATTTTTCCCTTGTGTACTTGCGCATATAAAATTTGGTTGAAACCGACTTGGCTATAAATCGAATGTAGAACATTTAGCTATTTTTTTCAGCTGGTGGCCTACGAAAACAATTCGTTCGAATTGGAGACGATTGATTGTCTGGTGCCTCGGAGACTAAGTGGTAAGATAGAGAGTTCTTTCACTCGGACCACCTCCTTTCCATCCATGTCATACACAACTACACAACGATAATATTGATGCCGATTCTATCGGATTCATTCATGTTACTTTCCTATCACTGTAAAAAAATCAAAATCGTGTACGAGATATAGTAGCATATTTCAAGATATAGTAGCAAATCGTGTACAAGATTACTCTAGTAGCATATTTTGTGCGTTAACTCCTTTTTTGCGCTTTCTTGTTGAGGAGGGTGTCTAAGTGTTGCGGTTGTTTGCCCGCAATATGGTGTCCACTTCTGAACCCAGATAAGTTCTCTCTTGGGACGTTTGCTTAGGGGAAACTTCCAGCATAACCAGTGGGGGGCCTATTCCGGACGAAGATCCGAATCAGAAGACGACATTGGGCAAGCTGCTTCTCCGGGGACAGATGCTACTTGTCGACGACTGGGACCAGTTCATGTTCATATGCACACCTGTGTAAGCACCACATTACGAGGCCAAACTGTGCACTGGATAGGCGCACAATTTGGTGTGTGTAGGTCTCTGGAATCAAGAGACAAGTGTTTAAACATGTGGAAATTTTGGCGGCACGATCAAAGGAAACATAAGATCAAAGAACGGTTTTATTGCGGAATCCACATACAATTCTCAAAATACACAGTTTGGCCGTAATGCATTTTCTTTTCAAATAACATACAGTTTTTTTAGTTAAGCGCTGTACATGAAATCGACATTTTTAATCAAAAGAAGGGTCGGTGAAACGATTCGCCACAGCTAATACGAAAACACTGCTTTTCTGGAATCTTGAAATATCTTTATTCTTTAGACTTGTGAGAGCAAGTGTCTTGTAATCAGAACTAGACTTTTTTCCTGTGAATAACTTTTCGTCCTTATTATTTTCTTCTTTATTCATCTTTCCTTATCTTCTTTTTACAAAATCTAGTTTCCTTACCCCCTTGGCTTAGAGGTAGCGCGGTTGCCTTTGTACTCTAAGGTTTGTGATTCGAGTACTGGCAAGACCTTTTTTTTCAGTATCAATGAAATTGAAACAAAAAATTCCGAGAAAAAATGAATGGTCGGACTTTGGTTTATCTGCTCAAGTTTTTTCGGCTGAGTTGCCGCATCACGGGTTTCGTTTCTGCTGCAAGCATTTTTTTTGCAGTTGCAAGTGCTGTTCATTGTAGTTTCAGGTAGACTTGAAACGTTCTTACGAAATCTTTTTTTTTTTTCAGCTCAATTGATTTCTGCTCAAAGATTGCCGGCTTTGTTTCCGCGTCGGCAGTTTTTTTGCCGTTGCTAAATCAATATTTTAACGTTTAAGAGTCGATGAGCGCAGCTCAAACTCTTAGTTAGGTCGCGATGATTTTTTTCGTTTTGTTTTTAACGAAAAGTTTTAAACTTTCTGCAGGCTCAGAAGTACTTCTTAGCGGTTTGACTTTTTATTTCTTTTTAAGTTCAGTTCTTTTCCTTTGTCAGGAGGAAAGCAAACTCCACGATCGAGCAGCAAAGTTGTAAAGGTCACGAAAAAGTTGCGACTTCTGGTTTCGAAAGAGGAATTTAATTATCGAATTTCCCAGCGAAATAAAATGTTTATCTTTTGAGCCAGTTTTTTTTCTCAAATTGAGTTGATTATATCAAAAAAAGTGTCAACCATAAATTGCTCCGGAATTTAAAAGTTTTTAGGTCATCTTTTTTTGGTTCTCGGAACTCGGAATTTTTCAAAAAAAAAAATCCGTATTTTTTTCTGCTTACTTGCATTCATTGACTCTTCTCCAACTGTCTGTCGGCTATGTTTTGCTTGGCAATTATGACGGCAATTTTTAGGACGACGGAACATTTTTCGATCTGAAAAGAGAATTTGATCTATTAAAAACTTATATGTTTGTTGAAATTCAGGAATGTATGAAGCTTATGCTAGCTTAGAGATGGTGGACCATGTGAAAACAACCCCTCCCCCAAAATGATTCAGGGGGAGTTTGTTCACTTGGTTATTGGTTTTTTGTTCCGACCATTGAACATTGGGAGAAAGTTTGTATTCGGTTGTGTTTTAGTTTTTTTTGCTTAGCTCGCAAAATCAGGTACCACAACATGGGTCGAGTGTTCAATCATAATTAGGCCATTTTAGTCGAGATTCGAACGACATTAAGAATTTCAAAAAAAAATTTCGTTGTCGAGAACACAGGTATATTTTTTTTATTTTTGGTCGAACTTTGAGCGAATAAGGTGAGCGAGCAGTTTTTTTTTGTTTTTCAACCAAAAGCAATTACCACAAATCACCATCATAATGGAGGAATTGATTTATCATATTGCAGCCCTTTCAGCATTGATTCAAGCAACATCAAAAAACGTTTGAAACAGTATTGAGAAAAACAGGTTTAACAAACAGGTGTGGAGACAAACCGGATATCCTTGTTTTTTTAAATATTTCAATTCGTTTGTAGTTTCTGCTTATTGTTGCTTGTAGTTTCTGCTTATTCTGCTTAATTTTGAGTAACCGGCTTTCATTGTTTTTTAATGTTTCAATTCGTTTGTAGTTTCTGCTTATTTTTGCTCATTTTTTTGTCGTTGGTTAACCCAATTTGAAAGAAATTAGTTTGAACACATCAAAATGCGTGAACAGAAAAGCAATCAACTTCATATTTGCATCACCAAAAATTGACTAGTTTTTAATATAATAATATTATGATAATGGCTTTTTTAATTCAAGTTTCAGTGAAACTTAAGAGGGTTTTTTAAACGTGATTTTTAAGCACGCCTATTTTTTGTATTCTCTTCTGATATTCTAGGAAAACGTTTAGTTCAAAATTGTGAATCGCAAATGGCCTTCAAAAATGATCGAAATTTTTTATGGCAAGGACTATTAGTGTTGTATGATCATCAATCATTTTTTCGTTTTGTTTCGATTTGCGAAGAAAATATGTAATATTTGTACTCGGTGTGTTTTTTGTTCAGACAGATTTCGACTTTTTACTTAGCTTTTTTGGCCGGAGTGTTTTGCTACTAAAACATAAGCGGCGGTTTAACTCGTCTTAGAAATTGGTCCAAATTGACTAGAGTCAAATCATTTGGACTGAACAGATTTTCAAAAAAAACTTTATTCTTTTCTCATTTCGAAGTTTTTTTTGTTGCTGTGGAAAATATGTCAATCATTAAATTTAAAAAGTTATCAAGTACTCTATAGACCTCAAGGGGCAGTCGAAAAAAAATTCAGAGTTCCACTCTTATACGAGCAGTTTCAATTGTTTGAAAGGTGACATCTTATAATAGGTGGCAGATTCACGTCAAATAGCTAGAACTCTCTATATTATTCTTGAATTTGCTGGATCGCTCTTTCTTTTACTTGAAACTATTTATAATCTGTTTAAAGGCATTTTTTGCAAAAAAGCGTAAAACTTGAACTTTGGGACAAGCATTTATCATATGAAATATTATATTTACGTCAACTAGAAATTTTGTATTTACAAGTGTCAAACTCGAGGTCAAAAACAAAGTGGAATGTCTACATATGACTGAAAATTTAAATGAATAAATTAAGTTTTGTAGACCTCAAGTTTGACACTTGCGCTACCCGGGGTGAAATCTGCGACTTATGTTGCGACCAAAATGGGTAGCCGAAATGGACTTTCTGCGACCGAAATTCTATCATCACGCTAAAAACTTGAGTCGCACAAAGTCGCATTGTAGCTAATCAGGGTCGCTCAACGTCGCCCCTTAGCTAATTTAGGTCGCGCACGCAAAGTCACAACATAGCTAGTTTGGGTCGTCGCAACCTACCTAATTTGGGTCGCGGAAAGTCGCAACATGGGTCGCGCGAAACATAAGTCGCAACATGGCTCGCGCATTATAAAGTTTCGAGCGGCTTAAGTAATGAAATTGCTGTCCGATTTTTTTGCTTGCATAAGCGTTATACAGATGAAGATTGCAAAATAATCCAGTAAATATGTACTTTTAATAGGCAGTTAGCTAGATCAACATATTTGCTGATCACATACGGGACCGCCACAAGAAGGAAACGATCGAAACGTTTTTCCTAAGTCGAACTTCTTCGAAAAGTTTTTCCTAAGTCAAGCTTGGTCGAAATGTTTTTGCTCGGTCGAACACAGTCAAAATAGTTTTTCTCGGTTGAAACCCTTCCTGGTCGAAAATTTTTTCGTCGAACTCCGTCGAAATGCTTTTTTGCGGTCGAAACTCTTCTCGGTCGAAAAAACTCCTTGGTCGATTTCAGTTGAAACGTTTTTCTTTAGTCAAAAACAATCGAAATGTTTTGCCGCAGTCGAAATTCACATTGGTCGAAAAAAATCCTCACTCGAACTCGATCGAAACGTGTTACCTAGGTCGAACTTGCTCAAAATGTTTTTGCTCGGTCACAATTGGTCGAAATTTTCTTCCTCGGTCGAACATAGTCGAAACGTAGACAGCTTGAGCCAAGTCGGTCAAAATATGTCGAGACGGTCAAAACATACCATTTTTGGTCGACTCCGTAAAATCATAAAGTGCAAACCTCGACCCTAAATTGCGAACTGAAGTCGCGCAAATCACGTTGGTCGCGCAAAATCGCAACATATTGTTTTTGACTTGGCGCAAAATCGGCTGAATTTGAGCAAATATTTCGGTTGCGCAAAGTCGCAACATACCCATTTTGAGTCGTAATGGTAGCAACATACCCGATTTGAGTCGCAATGGTCGCAGCATAAGTCCCTGACCTCGAGCCGGGTACTTTTATAGTTCTCAAAGTTGCCACCTATTGTAATACTGCTCCATTTAATTGTAGTCTGACTAATGTGAAGCAGATGATGAAGTGTTGTCTGTACATCAATGACCTCTCCCTCCACGACTCCACCAGGGCAGCTGTGTTGGCGGGCAGTCAGCAGAACAACCAACTAGCCGCTGCATTACAGAAGGTATTCGAGATAATTACTTAGAGGATACGTAGGTGCAGTGCAGATCCTGACACTTTGTTTTTGGCTATCAAATAATCGCAGTTTGTAACTAGTAAAACAAAGTGAATATTGAATTGCTTGTTTTTTGTGACCCAAAACTGAATAAGAGCACATTTAAAAAAAAATCTATCAGCTTGATGTGCATAACAACTCCGCGAGGTGTTTTTATAAAGAGTCAGACATTCGCTAAGGACGACGGGAAGGAATGCCGTATTTTTTAAAGACTTTTTTTCGTGATTTTGTTTTTTCTCCAGCTTCCGCGTTGCGAGTTTTCATGAATGCATACTAAAGGAAAACATTTTACAATGTTTTTGTGCAGGCGAAGGAGCAAAGTGCCAGTCTTCAGGACACCGTTAAGAGGGTGGACTTGGAGAGGAATCGAATCGCCAAGTTTCTACAGGAGATGATGCCCAAGGAGGTGGCCGACAGGATCAAGAAGGGCGAACCCACTTTGTCCATGACGCAAGTCAGAGATTTATTTAGTCAAAACTTCTAGATTCTTAGATTCTTAATATTTGCTGGGGCGAACAATTGCTTAAAAATTTTGCTGCCATTATAAGTTTAGCGAAAGCATTTTTTCAAAGTTTTGTCATAATCACGAAAAACTTCGATAAAAATTGCCGCATTTCAGCGGTGCATCTTTATGAGTACGATTTACTACTTTCTTAAATTTAATGGCACGATTGTAACTCGCATGTTTTTCTTGGGATATTTTCCCTTCCCCCCTCCCCAATTTTGAAATTCAATTCTTAAAAGCTATTTCAACATTGTCATAATGCTATGAAACGTGGCGTATGGTGGAGAAAACAAACCTTTTGCGAAAAAATTTCTTTTCACATCAGGAATCGTAGCTTCACGCATTTAGCCATAACAACACGTAAAAAAACTATGAAGACGGAAATTTCCAAATGGGCGAGGTGGGGTGGTAAAAAAAGCTTTTTTTGTGGTGTTTAGAGCCACTCTGCAGTGAGTATTCTGTTCACTCACATAGTGAACTTCCCCGCCTACATCAACGAGAGCAAGCCGATGAATGTGATCGAACTGCTCAACTTGCTGTTCTCAGTCTACGACCAACTGGTCAAGACACACAACGCGTACAAGGTCAGTCAATTAGAGTCCACTAGATCAAGTCAGGTCATCAAAAAGGTTCTGGAAATATTTATCTGCACTTCTTAATTGTGTAAAAGTTCAAAAAAATGTGCTAAAAAGCAGTAGCGGATTCGTAAATTCAAGCTGTGAAAGTAATTTCTTAGAAAAAAGCTGACTGGTCTTTTTTTTGACAAGCTCCTCTTGATGCACTCAGTTAAATCATTCGGTTTTTCATGATTCTGATGTTTTATTTCTTGCCATATCTTCTTTTTTTTCGCTTTCCATGCTTAGTCTTTTTTGTTTTTTACCCTTGAGATAAGCAAGGATGTTGCAACCGGCTACTAGACTTTTTTACCCGCAAGGAATTTTATCCACATTAGTTTGCACGTGAAAAAGTTACACATGTTTCAACTTGCTGTGTGTTACATGTGTTGCTATACAATTAAATCAAATTCAATCATTCTTTCAGCGCATCTGGAGTAGAGGTAATACCCATGCTTGTTTTCCGTTGTATCTGCTGCTACAAACGTGTGGTTCTATAGGTTGAGACCGTGGGGGACACGTACATGGTGGCTTGTGGGGCCCCCACTAAGTTCGACAAACACGCAGAAGAGGCGGCTGACTTGGCCCTTCACATGCTGCACGTGGCCACTTTCATCATACCACCAGGACACACATCGCCCATTGAGATCGAAATTGGTAGGGGTGTTTATGATCTTTTTACTTCAGTGTAGTTATATTTCTTTAGGCTACCTCGTTTCCGCGATTTTTCCGTGGAACATCTATTCTACTCGTAAACGTTTAAACGTTGGTTCCAGAAACCAAGACATAATATTAACTAAAAAACCAAGCGTATCAACAAAATATTTTGATATCTAATATTTGCGGTATTTTCATTGGGTAAAAATGGTACAAAAGTGATTTGTGTTTTCGGGGTCTACAACTTAGTTCGAAGGGTGGAAGAGTCACGCTATTACGATACTAGCCCTCCCCCCATCACAAGAAATATACCTATCATACAATTTCATATATGGAGTCTATGGGAAAAATTATGCAATTACTAGAGAAGGAAATTTTTTGGTTAAAATTTCTTCAATCGAAAATTTGATGTTTAAAAAATATCTTTAAGTGATTTAAAATTCATGTAATACAATTTTGCAGTAGTTTTTCTTCCATGAGAGCAATTTTTTGTCATCAGAAAAAAATTGGCCGTTCCTTTTTAAAATAATTTCTGAGTTCCTTAATACACATTGGAATGTCGGTATATATTTGATTGTTTTTCAGGCATCCACTCTGGACCTTGTTCAACTGGGGTGGTGGGGTCGAGGTGTCCGAGATACTGCTTCTTCGGAGACACCGTCAACACTGCATCGCGCATGTGCTCATACGCAGGGGTAATTACAACAGTCATTTGCACTTCATAATTGGTCTTTCGAAGATCAGAAGCGACCAGACGGTTTGAAGCTCGGCCATGGGCTGTTGGTAGGCATCTCCTGTGGTATGTAAAGGTAGATGACTCCGCAGCCCCTAATAGAATAAGGGCAGGCTCTGTTTGTAACCCCAAAGAAGATCGCAAACTTGAAAAATATAGAGATCTAATTAATGAAGGATGTATTAAGAGTAATCAACGTATTGAGTACTCTTATATAGTTCTTGCTGATTTTTTTGTTTTGTTTTCAGGTAAAAAATTTAAAATTTGTTCACGCTCAATTTTGATTTTTCGCGGTTTGACTTATGATTTCTTTTTAAGTTCAGTGCGTTTCTATTGTTAAAAGAAATGCAAACTCCATTATCGAACAGCAAAATCGTGATGGTAAAGATCACAAAAAAACGTGATCGACCTCTAATTTCGAAAATGGAAGTTAATTATCAGATTTCCCACCGAATTAAAAAATTTTACCTATTGATACATTTTTCTCAAAATGGGTTATTTTTAACAAAAAAGTGTACATCATAATTTTTTCTACAAATTCAAAGAGCCTTAAAGCCATCTATTTTCTTTTGTCAAATTTCAATAAATGAAGGTTTTAAAAAAACAAGTCAGTTTTTTTTCAGTTTCTTTGCGTTCATTACTCTTTTCTAACTCTCAGTGGGCTATGTTATTTCAACTAAAAGCTTTTGACGTTCAGGGTGCTACTGGCCCTAGCACTGTGATTTTTCTAAACAAGCCCTGTAGGAACTATAGCACGTGTACCGAGGAACCCAGGACAGGTAGTTTTTTAAGCTGAGAATCTCCCTCGAAATACAGGTTGCGAATTTTGCCAATTTACTGGGCACTAATAATGATAAAACTACCATCGAAGAATTTTTTTATTTTTAAAGCCAAGGGAACAAAAGCCCAGCTTATTATAAGTATCTGATAACCCGTAGCCTTACATCAGGTCAATCTTTTTGAGTTTCTTTCAACTCTGGTTTATTCTGTGCAGGGGTTAGTTTTATCAATCTTGTTGGCTTGATTCCCAACCATCTGACTCTCTTTTCTTCTATCCACGTTATACTTTAATCTTCCATATCTCAAAAATTCCTAGAATTTTGAGTGGAGTATGTTATGAAGGGACTCCTGACTGTAACCTTCGTTGTTGTAATACTTTTGATCTTCTGATTTTTGGCGTTTTGTATCTATCTACTTGTCCAAGCTCACTCTAACATCAAATTTATGATAAATTGACTGCTTTTACACCGATTGCTGTCGAGCAGCTATTGTTAGATTGAGTGATCAGTCTTGATACCATACAGCGTAACTTTGTAGCGTATCCGGTAGTGATATGGTGATTGCGAGTTCAAATCGCACGTGCGCTGCAATTTTTCAAGCTGAGCGCTCGCAAGATATCCATATGTTAATGGGCACTTCATGATGAAGCAAGGTCCAGCTCAGTTTAAATAACTAATCTCCGGGCTGGTGAACTAAAACAATCGGTTTTTCCTACCCCCCCCCATCCCGCTTCTGAATTCTTTAAATTTATTTTTCTGTTCACAGTGTCAGATTGTTACAAAAATTTATGTGAGGACTATTTAAGCTATTACAAGCTTATTTGGTCGTAATATTTAATCTCGTAAAGCCCCTCGTTACACCGTAACTTTTAATCCTATGCTAAAATAGTTTAAATGATTGCGCAAAAACAGAGTTTTTCTAGATTAATTCACAGGTCCAGATCTCAATCTACTGGTAATAGGAGCGGGTCTTCCTCCCTATTATTATCTGTCGATCTTCATCATAGTTTCAAGCACCTTATTTGGAATTTGAAGTTGAAATGGTTCATATTTAGTTTGTTTTTAAAGGCCAGTAAGATCCAGATCTCGAGTCCTACTCAACAACTGCTGGATCCATGTGGAGAATACATCTTCGAGAGCAGAGGGAAACTGTCAATCAAAGTGAGCATTTTCGTTTGCATTCGGCATGATCTTCTGCCTCAATTGGGAGTAATTTCACATTTTTTTCCTAAATGAGCTTCCGACTCCTTTTTGGTTAAAAAGTTTAAGTCTCTTAGAAAATTTAAAGTTAAAGCTATAGAAAAACTTCGTAACTTCGAAGTGGCTTGAACTTTTTTAAAACGATGATTTTTGCTGGTTGAGTTTGTCATAACTGAATCAGAAATAGGTTGAAGAATGGCTGGATAAAACTCACTCGTGAAATACTTTTTTTTAAAATTTTTTTTTATTTCTGAACTCGAATGGTTTATATTTTGTATTGCATTTGAGTTCCACTTAAGTTTTTGAAGAGTCGATGAACGTAGTTCAGTCTTTTAAAAAGGTCGTGATTATTGTTTTTTTTTTTTCAGGAAAAATTTCGAGGCTCAAATTTACTTACTGTTGTTTATTATGTTCATCTGTTATTTAATAACTGTTTTCCAGGGAAAGGGAGACATGAACACTTACTACCTTCTGGGAACCCGCAAGTGTCTGCAGTATCTAGAACAGCTGAAGGTCATTGTGATCCAATGCATGGGCAAACAGCAGGAGAACCAGTTCCAGCAGATCCTTGGCAAGAGGACTCTGGACTCCACGGAGTCATTGCTACAAGAGCCGAACAAGACGTCCATGATGGCAAAGCGGGCGTCAGGGATCAATGCCCAAGCGTAAGATCGGTTCTTTTCAACCGTTGCTTAAATTAAAGCGTCCTTATTTTGGTCTACCAATTTTGCCGAAAGTTGAAATAGTATCATAGTTTTCATAATTAGTTTTAAGTTGCAACGACTAATATGATCTCATTTTTCTACACTTGCGAGAGCAAGTGTCTTTAATTTTCGTAACTCACGAAGCTTTTGGAGAACAAAAAACCAAAACGTAAAACAAAAAAGCGTTAATCTGAACATGTTGTTTGCTAAATTTTTTGTCTAAATGGTGGTAAATAATTGATTGTAAAAAGAGCGCGTTTAACAGTATTTTCACAGGATTCTGAAAGAAGAGGGTAGGTCGAATGAAGGAGTGAAGACCAAAGAGTCGGTTGGATCGATCCCCAATTCAACCCCGGCTGACGACCCCCATAACACTACTAAGCCTGGCACCCCACCAATGACCAAAGAAGAGTCAAGTATCCTATCAAAGAACAATGAAACCTCCAAACAGCCAAATGAAGCGGACAATGTCCCTGAAAAATGTGCTCTCAAAGAAGATAAAATGACGGTTTCCGGTAAAATGATTAGGACTGAAACTGAAGTGCACGTAAATCGAGATAATTCGAAAGACACAGTTGATCCAAAGTCGAAAGATGGTATCAACGAAATAAAAGCCAACGGTCAATGCACTGGCCCTAATCTTGAAGCGGAAGTCAAAAACGAAAAACACGCGTCGCCTCCAAATGAAGTTGAACAAAAAAGTTCTTCAGTCGGTAAAACGTCAAAGCAGACCAAAGAGGCAAAGACGGCAAATGGGAGCCGAAATGATGATAATAAGACTCCGATAAATGAATCTGAGAATGCAACCAAGATTGATGATGTAAAATGCCCGGTAGAATTATTCAACATAAGCACCCAGACACAAGCAGTTGATCCGAATCGCACTGCAGCAACGAAATGTAAGTCTAAACAATTCTTAGAATAAGGTCGTACTAAATATCACAAAAAATTCTTAATTCACTTGCAAAAATTGAAAACATAGATCATTGTGAAACATCTTACCAATAAATTGCAGTAATAAATTGTTTTTTTTTGTTCAGGCGTATGGATGAAAATAAAAGAACTTTTGAGTTATTTGCAACTTTGTTGCAGCCTGACTCAAATTGAAGGTTTCGCTTTTCGCCCATTGGCAAAGATATAAAGCAAAAGTTTTCTAAAGTCTGCGTTTTTTGTTGTGTCACTTTCAATGAACTTTCTGTTAAGCTGCTGGCAAGAAAAAAGGATATGGCAAAAATGATCAAATGTCGGGCGCCAACAGTATGGCATCTTCTGGTCGAACATCACCGACCCACGATCAACATTTCCTCCCAGGAGCAACCCACTCCTATCAATTTGAGGGGGGATTTCCGGGCGGAATCAATCCGGGCTACCTCATGCAGTGCCCTCTCATGATGATGCAGGGCGGTGGTCCGGGGTTCGGAATGGGAGTGGGAGGAGGGATGGGAGGAGCTTTCGGAGGCGATATGCCTGGTGGGGCTCTTGGAAACTGGGGACTGCCGATGATGTCACCTGAAATACACTGTCCAGTTTTCATGATGCCACACGGCGCTATGTCGGCACAATCGGGTGACTTCGGCGGGATGATGATGGGCGGAGGAGGGTACCCAATGCACGCGGCGGGTGTTCCACAGAACACTGTTCCGGATGGTAGGCGTCGGAGGAACAGTGACGGAAAAGATTCAGGGAGGTCGACGGATAGTGGTCGCGAACACTCGGAGTTTGCTGGGATGCAACACTCTAATTCGCAGCAGTTTGTTCACATGGCAGACCCTTATGGACAGCAATACGTCAAGCTTGTACCTGCTCAGAGCGCGTTGTGTAATGTGCTGTAAATTGTAGAGTTTCAAATGTGTCCGATCTTAACCACTATACTCTTTCTAGCAGCACATGTCAGGGCTTACAGGGCTAAAATAAATTTTTTGCTCTTTTCCATTTCCCCACATCTCTCAAAATTTTGCTATATAAAACTGTTCCTACGGCATTTTGCATATAAGAAAAGTTGTTATAATCTGAAAAAATCAAAAGGGGATACCTGGATTAAAGCTTAATTTGGTACTTATAAGCTAGCGGAGGTGGCAATAATGGGAAAGATCCGATAGTTAGAATAGCCAGTAGTTGTTGTACAGTCACGGGACATAGAAGTTGCAGTTTGTTTTTTTGATTTGAACGAGCAAATTAACGATTTGTTTCTTCACGTTTGCGTCGTTTTCTCTCCAGTTAATTATGAGATCGAAATTAAAAAACTATTTGAAAACAGCTAGCCGGATGAAAAATAAGTTGTTGCGGTGGCGTTAAATAGCTCGTATAACATATCTAGTTTCAGAGGTGCTCTTGCAGTGGAAACATTATCGCAAAAAAACTAGGAATTTGGACTTTTGGACTAAATTTGGTTCTCTGGGAAGCTAATAAATGTGACTTAATCTCTATGTCGGAGAAAAAACGTCGGACATCAAAATTGAAACAGATTTTTGGTCCTCCCACGAAAAACAGGCGCATCTTTTTTGACGATACCTACATTTAATTTAGAGAAAACATAACTGCTTATAAGAATCCTGAGCATCGATTAAAGCAGCTATTTTTTCTGAAATAATTTTTGTTTGCTCATTTAGATCATCAGAGCAAAATAACTGACAAATTTTTGGCCAATTTTTGACGACAGACCAAATAAATTTTTCAATTCTTCTGTCTGTAGTTTTTCAGTTGCATAAACAGTCAGTCAAGCTAGTAAGCTTCCGAAAACAACCAGTTTGAGACCATAGATCCAAGTTTTTTTGTTTTGTTTGCGAGAACGTTTCCACGGTAAGAATACTTCTGAATCTAGTTAAAGTCTGACTTTTTAACGCCCCCACAACAACATTTTGTTTCTGCTACCTCCTACCAAATAGTTTTATGTAGCAGATGCCAAAGGTTCAACACTATCTTTAATAGTTGCAGAGAAAAAGACAAAACGTGAAAAAAATTGTCGTTTGCTCGTTGAAATTAAAAAAAAAGAGCTGCAACTTCTATATACCGTGACTGTAGCTGTCCTCATTTTGAACAGTTGGATTGCAGCTCATATGTTGAAACATATCAACACCCAAATATGCCAATTCCGTTGGTTTAGTATCATAAATTATTAGCTAGTTAGTTTGTAGTATATTGGACATCAATTTATTACTGTCGCTTGTATTGCATCTCGCATCAGTTTAACTAGCAGTTTTTGTTACAACGTGTAAAAAGACTAAAAAATGCATGTTTAAAATGAACTTATTTTGGCAAATTTTGTAAAACCACCTAAAAGATAAAGATGCTCTGAGCTGAAACTTAAAAATATAAGTAACTTTTGATTGTTTCCGTGAAGTTAGGGTTTCAGAATCTGGAAGTTTGTCAATATGCGAATTAATGCGCGCAAATTTTTCATTAAATTTTTTTTTAGCGATTTAACAAATGTTAGCCCTTTAACCCGGCTCAGAAATCATTGCAAACTGAATTTAGGCACACTTATTGACAAAAATCAATGGTAAGTAGAAAAATAAACGTCACCTTGTAGTTTTTATTTTGTGTGGGGAAAGACGCGATAACAAAATGTTTGTTTTTCTCTTTTTAATTATCAAAATTTAATCAAAATTTAATTCAGACATTTACACCCTGATTATTTCGTGCAGTTCCTTTTAAACATTAAGCATGATCTTGCCGTTTAGTCTTGTTTTTTTTAATGGCTTTTTCGATTTTGCCGTTAAAAAGAGCAATTAACAAACCGCGTTTCAGTTTTCATCAATTTTGTAGATGATTATTTTACTTAAACTGTAAAATAACTAGACATAAATTAGATGATCTGATAATGATTTTGATAGTTTGTCACCCCATTAGATAATCTGATAACTATTTTGTTAGTTTGCCACCATAATCATAAAAATATAGTTGCCTGTTTGTTTTTTCGCACAAATAATGATGCCCTATGCACAATAGACAATAAAACATTTTGACCTTCTGTCGTTTTTAGATCATTGTACACTATCAAAAAATTGATTGTCAGGAGAACAATATACCATGATACGAATTTCTTTTTTAGCCTCATTTTTTCAGGGTATGCTTGTATGAAAGTTATTGTTTCTTGTGACGAAATAACGGGTGTTTTGTTCCACCCAGGTGCAGCATCCGCAAGGAAAACTTGCAGTCAAGTGTGGTATCACAGTTAGGCCATGTAAGCCATTATTTAGATTCCAGAAAAACCTTAAAAACTTGTCTAAAAGGGTGTCTGACTGTCAAGAAACATGTGTCTGAAAACTCTGTTATTTAGGCTATTTTACATGCAGAGAGAGAGAGAGCGAGAGAGTAAGTGTGTGTAGGAGAGAGTAAGAGAGAGAGAGAGAGAGAGAGAGAGAGAGAGACAGACAGACAGAGAGAGAGAGAGAGAGAGAGAGAGAGAGAGAGGAGAGAGAGAGAGAGAGAGAGAGAGAGTGAGAGAGAGGGAGGGAGGGAGGGAGGGAGGGAGGGAGTGAAAGAGAGAAAGAGAGAGAGAGAGAGAGAGAGAGTCGGATAGAGTGAGAGTGAGGTTTCTTTACTTTTACTGTGAATTTTCATTTTATTTTTGCTATGTTTACCTCAAGTTCTCGATTATTTATCCAACTGAGTCCTCTCTCAGTGCCTTACAAAATGGTAAAACAAACATAAAAAAATTAAGAGAACACTTTTTTAATATAGTTTTTTTTGTATTTTATTATCAAATTTTACTTTTTTGCGATTTGACTTTCGATTTTTTTGTTGTAGTTCAAATCATTTTTTATTAAAAGAAAGGCAAACTCCATTATCGAACAGCCATAAGTGTAAAGATTGTGAAAACGTGATCGTTTTCTAGTTTTGAACGTGAATTTAGAGATTCAGATTTCCCAGTGGAAATAAAAGCTTAACTGTTAATCCAGTTCCCTCAAATTGTGTTAATGTTTTTGTTTTAGTAATGAGAGAAGCATAAAGACCATCTATTTTTTTTCTTTGAAATTCGAAAGCTATAATTTAAAAAAAATATGCCAGTATTTTTTCTGTTTAATTAAGTTCATTGACTCTTTCTTAACTGTCTTTGGCTCTGTGTTTCCTAGCATTGATTATATTTCTGCAGTCAAAAATTCTGTACAGCTTTTATCTTTACAAATTAGAACGAAAATGATACCATTCTAGTTGTTGCTAATCAGACCTAGTAAACCTGTACAACAGCGGAAGGCTCAAAATTTCTCCAGTTCTCAAAAGGGCGGGAAAAGTTTCCCAAATCTTTTTTTAATTAAGTTGCGTGAAACTTTTGATTTTTTCACGAGAAAAGGTTCTAAAAAATTTTCAGATACTTTTGACAGAAGAACTTTTATACGCTTCAATGCTCCCACTAAGCAATTTGCGGGTTAAAAATGGTTATTTTTTCTTTCAATTTTTTTGGTCTTTTCGTTTTTTTGTGATACAAATTCAGATAAATACAACCGTTAAACAGCGTTTAACTAGTAAAAATTCCTTTTCTTAGGTCAATTGTGTTTGACCAATAAAATTCTAGGTTGTGGTTGAGCTGTTTTTGTTTTGTCTGAATTAGTTTTTTAAATGAATTTTATATTCATTTTTGAACAGATTCAAATTGGGCTTTCAAGGTGAAAGAAAAATTTTTTCACTTTGAGAAAATTTTAATGGATAATGAATGGATGTTTACTTGAGTTTTATTATTAT